CCTCTCAGCGGGAGCAGGGTCACAGCCATCCCTAAAGCTGCTGCAGCTGCCCCTCAGCCTCTGAGGGACCAGGTGAGTGTGCGGTGAGGTGCTGGGCAGCCAGGGCTGTGCCCCATGGGGAGGTTCCTCAGTGCCAGCCCTGGTCAGGATAAGGTGCCATGCCATGATGGAGAGAGACTGGTTTGGTCCCACTGTAGCTCCCTGTGCTCCTTCCCGTGCTATCTGTAACTGGGGATGGCTGGGTGAAGCACACAGACAGTGCTGTGCAGGTGTGGGCTGCAGGGGCAGTGCCTGGGGGTGCTGTGGAGGGGGAGACATGCCCAGAGCCTGGCCCAGTTCTGGTTTGCCAGAGCAGTTCCTGGGGTGCTTTCGGGCTGAAATAATGAAATCAAGGGGCTGTGATCCCAGGTCAAACAGCTCTGACTCTGCTCTGGTTCTCTTAAGGTTTCTCCGTGTCTTCTCATCTTGCTTAAAAACAATCAAAAACCACCTGGGTTCTCTTTCTTACCTTCTTGAGTGCTATTTAGCAGGGCCTGTACTTTTATTTCTTTGGGCTTGCTGAGGAGCTTCTTGAACCTTATTTTTAGAACTGACCGGTAGTGGAGAGCTGTGGACAGTAGTTCATGTTTGAGTTCACAGGTATTTCCCTCTGTAGAAGGCTGCTGAGTCCTTGATCTCATATGCTGGCAAAAAAGAAAAAAAAAGGTATGAAATTCAGTTGCCCTGTCTGCTTTAATCCTTAGCATTAACAAGTTGAATTTCAGAGATCTCTTATATTGCTGGCAATGGCCACACAAAATAATAGACTTAAGCGTTACTGAGCCCGTCCCCAAGACCTGATGAGAGCTCAAGGTAGATATTTGTAATGCCTTCCTTTTGAGCCTTTACATTCTGTTTGAGGACACCGGTGACCACGAGGTCGCTCATCTCAACAGCAGCGTTTTGGATTAATCAGCAGCCAGCCTGTTTTCTGACAGCTGAGGTAACGCTGCCCCTCTCTCCCAGTAATGAGTGACACCACAGCTCCAGCACCTCCACGGGCTGGCTGCTGCCACTCTCCTCACACTGCATTTGCACTGTGTCGTTTGCCACAGAAATTTCTGGCCGCGTTGTCTCCGGCTTGCAGGAGGGGTTAGAGCCCTGTGGCTTGTTTTATTTTTCACTCCATAATGAAAAATAAGATCCTTGCTGGGGGAACTCGGTGACTCGGTATATGGGTAATGGGATATGGAGCTTCCCAGCTGTGTTGCCTGAAGCACCCAGCTAGGATGGAGGAGACCTGGTTTTGTGCCTTGTGTTACTGCTGGCATTTACATTTCATCACTACCTCCCTTTCAATACCTCAGTTTCCTTGTCCTTAAAATGAGGTGAAAGCTCTCTACATCTACGTATCTTAGGAAAAATTATAAAAAGAGGCAAGTGCTGTATAAGAGCCAATTATAACCATTACTATTACTAAGACCTGTGTAGCAGTATGTGACCAACCGGGATGCAAACACCTTAGAAGTGTTCTCATAGGAATTACCTTATTATCCACCATTAAAATTGGTCTGTGATCAGAGTGCTCCAGACAACGTGTAGCGAAAACGAGAAACCCCAGAGCACACGGACACAGGGATTGCCCCTGGCAGAGCCTGCCTGTTCAGGAAGCCGTGTGCTGTGTTATTTAGTGGTTCCTGGAGGAGAGAGGAGTCTGGCTGCTCTCAGGGCTGGAAGTAAATTTGGAAGTTGAGGTGCTCTTTCATCCCCACAGATGGTTCCTGCTAAGGCAGGCTGAGGCGCTGGCTGAGCACCAAGGGGAAGTGTGAGTCGCCAGCGCACGTGCTGTGGCCAGGGGCCAGCACAGCTCCTTCCTTTCATCAGCTGAAATCAGTGTTTGACTTGGATTGGACGGGGCAGTTTCTTTGGTAAGTCGACATGCTGAGGCTGAAGCGATGTGAGGTCCTGCCCGATGACTTGTGTTAGGGAGTGTGGCAGGAGAAATCAGCTTCACTGGGAGGAGCTTATTAAATATGTGTCATATCTGGCCATTTTCTGTTTGCATTTTCACAAACAAATTGTGAGCCTTCTAATGGCATATGTCAGGTAGACGGCAGTGAGAGCAGGCTATTTCTCTTATAGATGCAGTAGCTGATGTACTTTAAAGTCTTGTCACAGCTCAGAATAATGTGTGTCTGTATGAGCAAGTGCAAAATACCTATGAGATTTTTAAAAACGTGAAAAAGACACATGAAAAAGTAAAAAATATGTCAGAAGGCAAGCTTTTAAAGTCAGCTAGCACATACAGTGCTGACCTCACCTAATCCAACTAGTCCAGTGGTATTCACTGTATTTATTTTTTTTTTAATGTTTTTAACCTCAAGGTAGCTCATGCTTATGCATCAACTGCACACAAGTGAATAAATTATCATGGGGACAAGTTCAGCTGTGAACCTACAGCATATTCAGTACCCAGGGGTGACTCTGTGGCTGCATATCCTATTCCTTGGTATATATGAAGTAGTCCAAGGTAGCTTATACCTTGGTGAGAACAGAGGAAATCTCATTTACTCCGAGATCAAAGCACATGCATATGTGGACAGATATGTGGATGACAGAGGAACTAGGAAGGTGTTTATTTGAAATTTAGTGCCCTCCATGGTGACTTGTTTGTACGTGCTTTTATGGTGAAGATCTCGCTTTAATACACCGGGTGCGTTTTCGGCTTCAGACGAAGGAGAGGGTTGCAGTCTGACCAGACTTACAAAGATCCTGTCAGTCTGCAGGTAGCCACAAATGGAGTTAAATTTAGTGGGAGCTGCCTGTCTGGTGGTCCTGTGCCTGTCAGTCTCAAGCAACGCGTGGCCTGCGAGGCACCTTTGGCGTTGATTACAGCTACAGAAAATTGAAGTTAAACCTGGTACTGCAGGGAGAATGAGGCATAAGGCTGCACAGGGTGTCTTTTGTCTTATGTTGTTATTATATTTGGCTCTGCTCAGAAACACTGAACGTGTGTTTGAAAAGCAGTCAGCCCATTTATTTAAAAGAAAATCTGTTTCTGAGGTCGATGGCATATGAGCAGTTAGATGCAAACTGGGGAAGAGTAACTGAGTTTGCACTAAAGGGGAATTTTTTTTCCAGTGTAGAGGGAATTCTGCTCTTGCTCTTGGTCATAGATTAATGTAGTGGCTCGCAGAATGTGTTCCTATGGGATGTTTGTTTTTGACAACATCCATCTGAGAAGCTGGTGGTTTAGATAACAACAAACTTTACAACATTCCTTTGACACAGAAGTGCTACTTTTATTTATCTTTCCTGGTGGTTTGGTCTGGGAGATTTGCCTTATGCCTTGATCTAAGAGACATTGCTTTGTATCTTGTTTTAACTATGATGCCACATTTACCCCTGCCCATGGCTCTTCTGACCTTCCTTCCACGTGGGGTTTTGTTGAGTGGAAGAATAACACAGGTGGTCAAATAAGGCATTTGTTCCCTCCTTGTTACTCTCTGTAAATAGTTAGTTCAGTGACCTTGTTCTCTGAGCTCTGAAAGCCTCTCTTACCTGTGAAGTGGGCTTTGAAAATTTAACTTCAGTCACTTCTCTGAGCTCCTGCTTTCACAAAGCCCTCAGCAGCAGCAGGCTGTAAATGCCTTTTATATTCCATGAAAACTGCTCGGTGAAAGTTTCTGTTACCTTGACCATTCATTTGCGCCGTAGCTTCATGTAAGAATGTGCAACACAGGAAATCCTGAGTACAAATGACTTGGTGAACTGGGAGGATGTCTGGCACAGTGGATTTTTCCTGTCTTTGCTGAACCCTGAAGGAACTTGCGGGGATTTGAGAGGAAGATTTCAGGGATTGAGGAGGAGTTGCTGGAGCACTGCAGTTTTTGTAGGCTAGGTCAGAAGGACAGGCAGGGTGTTATGTGTTGTGCTTTTTGGTGACACTGTGGTGTAAAGGTCTGTGTGCTGTGAGATGGGAAATTGGAAGGTGCTCTCTACTGCATCAACAAGGATTTAAGAGATGTAGCTTTTCCTCAGGGATTCAGAAGGAATTATGGTCAGAGTTACCACTAAGGCAGTAGATGAAGTGCAGGGAGGTAAAAATCAGTTATCCAGAGACACACAGCAAACTGGGACCTGTCAGCATAAGGAGAATCTTCAGAATGAAGATTCTGGCAGAGCATTACTGCAGAATATCTATTGTGGGTAAAGTTGCTTTTTATTCCATAATAATCTGTCAGCCTTTAGAGCAGGGAATATTTGAGAGTCAGGGGACCTGTGTCATGTAAGTGAGACAGGAGCTAATGGAGAACAGCTCACTGCTGTTGATCAGCTGCTGTGAGTAAGCCCTTGCAGAAGCCTGGGAATACAAGCAGAGGCTGTAGGAGCTGCCAGCCTGTATCCCAGAGCCTGAGGAACAGCTGTACCCCATGCAAAGGGAGAGCAGGAGCTACCTGTGCTGAGCCTGGGAGCCTTCTTGTAACAGGCGTGTCTGATCCATGTGTTCCCCTTTGCTAAGTCCAGCACCTCTGGAGCTGACTGAGCTCTCACTTTCAGATTTGTGTTTCATTTTGCAGACAGGGGAGGGAGGTGCCAGATGAAAAAAAGCCAGCATTTCAGTCCCTTAAGGCAGGAGCTTTGGAAAGAAAAGCCAACATATCAGCCCCTTAAGATAGGAGCTTTGGAGAGAGCTGTTTGAATCCAGATTCAAACCTTCCAGCATGTCTGCTTCCCACTTGTTAACATTATGTAGGGCTCATAGAAAGCCTCAGAGGAAGCGTCTGGGAGGTGAAGGAAATGTGAACAATTCAAATCCATGTCTTCCACCTCCCCAGAGAGTGTCTCAGCCCTGAGTGGTTGGCTGGGCTGGATGAGGCTTGTTGTCTAGAAGGACAGAGTGCACAGGGGAATAAGCTGTGCCAGAGGAGAGAGCATACTGTTTCCCTGGGCTCAGGGCATTCAGCTGGGAATGAGGAATTTCTGTTCTAGCAGTACCTTTGGGACCTGGAGGACTCTTGTTTTAAACCAATTAACATTTAGTGTAAAACAAAAAACAAATAACAAGCAATTTTAACAGCTGGGACCTTGTTGAATTTGGCTTGAGGTCAGGCCTACTTCCTATTGTAAGGCTGCTGGTTAGGAAACTGCTGTTAAAAATGTCTTCAGTTTTACTAGGCTGTGCTTGGCTGGTGTGTTTTAGTCTCTTCTTGACAGCCATTGAAGAAGCCAATGATTTATGGCTGTGGAAAGCTGCCCACTCCTGGCTTGTACATTCCGGAAATTGTCCAGGAGATGTTTGGTCCCTCAGATGATGGTTTTAGAGTCCATCACTTAAGACACATTTGGTCACTGTTGGATAGAGGGGAGAGTCTTCAGATCTGGTTGTTTTCAGTGTGACTTTTTTATGTATTTGAACAAGAGCAGATTATCCAGCTAGCACTGGGTATATTGGTCTGTATTAGTTAATGAACCAGACATGGGCAGCAGCTTAATTAATAGAGAAAGGAAGAGTATTTCTATATAATAGAGAAAGGGAGACATAACATTTTACACAGAGCTTTTAATTCTTCCAATCAGGACAAGGCTCTGTGCAGGGAGCCCCTTGCTCAGAGTGAAACCCAGAGGTCAGGATATGTCTCCATGGAAGCCTTTTCTTTGCTCCTGAGAGCTCTGTCCCTGGCCACGTGCTGCCAATCCAGTCAGAGTCCAATCAGTCCCATGGTGAGAGGTGCCCTGCCAGGAGCTGAGGTGCAGGTGTACACACAGGGAGCTGCAGCTGCCTAAAAACCTGGATTTACACTTTAGGAGCCCAGAGCTGTGGGGAGCAAACAGCAGGCCTTGTGCTCTGAAGTGCTGGCTCACAAAGAGTGCTCATCTTCGTCCCTGAACTGATGAATTTACCCACTGCTGGGAGCCAGTGGGCTGGAAAGTGCCTTTTGATTGCTCTTCCTAAAGGATAACTGAACCCTGTCCAGTGCTGGAAGGCAGCTGGTCATTCCATGGGGCAGAGAGGGCTAGAAGCAGAACAACTGAGAAGAAATGCCACTGGTGGCTTTTTGCTCCATTCCAGAATAAAAATGGGAAGCAAGCAGGAGGGTAGGGACCACAGTCCAGGAAGTCTCTCTCTTGTGGCACAAGATGTGGCTATGTCCCAGTTCTGCCCCTGGTTCTGGGTGTGTGCCCCTCTGAGCAGTCATAGCCCCCAGCAGTGCTCAGGGTGATGTGCCACGCACAGCCCCTCGTTGTCAGCTCCAGTGTCAGCTGTGGGATCTGGGCAGGCACAGAGACAGGCTAATATGTTCCCTGTTCTGTAAGCCCTGCTCTGACAGCTGGTCAGCTCTGGCTGCAGGGCTTCACAGCCTCTGAATGGCAGCCCATAAATCAGAGCTGGCACTGAAAAGAGGAATTGTAATGAGGGCTGAGAGACTCAAGGAGAATTGTTTTCCTGAGTCCCATCCCATTTTCACACATACACATACAGACACTTGCCCTGTCCCTCAGAAACACTTAACTAGGCTTCACCTCTCTAAGAAGATGGACTGCCTGGTAAATGAGATGTCATGGGCAAACGCTGCCCTTGCATTAAGGGGATTATTTCCAAATTATTTGAAGAGGCTTAGCACGAGGGCAGAAACCATAAATAACAAGGAACACTTCGGAAAGTTGGAGGTGGCTTCATGAGCCCTTGAACTTCCCAGGGCAGAGATGAAGAATGGAGAGTCCTGCTGGAAAGTGACCCCTGATTCCTGTGCCCACTGCACAGTGCCCTCAGTCATGTGTTCTCACATGTGGCTGTGGAGGCTTCTGCTGTGTCTGCACAAGGCTCTCATAATAACAAAGGAGTTGTTTAATTTATTATTATTATGTGTTGTAGGAGGCAGTGCAGTCCTTCAGCTGAGGCTGGTTCAGCAGCCTGTCAGGCCTTCTTTTAACAGGTCTGCCCCAAAAAATGCTGCTTCTCATGCTGCAGATCTTTCAGTATGAGCAGAAGAGGTGAGATGGGAGAGGAGGAAAGTGAGAGCATGTCAAGACCATCAGCAGAACAGGGCACTGGTGTATAGACTTGCAGATCCAGCTGAACTGAAAGTTGGCATCTTTGAATTCCTCACCTGTCTGAAGATTGCAGTGTATTAGGGGGGAATATTACAGTGATACAAGAATAAAAAGCTCCCAGTCTTTGGAGACTTTCTTAAATGAAAATATGTTTCAAAGCGAAAAACCATTTGGTCCATCTGTGTCCCATTACTGAGCTGGGGCCATCATCCATTTTCATTAGCCAGGGCCTGAGCATGGGGGTGGGGACAGAGGCCCAGGCAGCTGCCCTGGACACCAGGCTAAGATGCACCATATGGAAAAGCCTAATGTATGTTAACAGGCATCAGAGCCCAAAATTGAAAGAGTAATGGCTCATCCACACACAGGAGCCTCAGCGAGAGAAACTCAGCACCAATCTGTCAGCTGCAATTCTGGGTCATTACAGGGCTGCTGAGCACAGGCCAACAGACAAGTTGGAGTAATCTGACTTCAGCAAGAGCAATTCCCCCAGCTGTGTGAGCACTCTGGCTCAGTTCCCTCCTTGCTAACATACATCAAACAAAGCATCTTCCTTTCCTCGGAGATTCTTCCCACTGGGCCTCGGGGGATTCCAGCCAAACATTTAAATTACATGTGATGATCTTTTAATTTGCTGGCTCTGTGTTGCTCTTACCACGTCAGATGAACACATGCCATAGCAAGGCTGTTTCCCTTTTGCCTGCCCCACACAGGTGTATTGAAATATCTTCACTTTGACCCCCCCAGAGTTTCTTCTTTTGGTTTTAAGGGGGCTCAGATCTTAGCTGAGGGCATTGCCATGCAGGCTGGAATGGGGTTAGATCCATTTTGTATCCTTGTACAAAATTAACTCTGCATGTAGCCAAATCATTTTGTTTGCCTTTCCAGTGGAGCTGAGCATTGCTGGGGCAAAGTAAGAGCCTGAAGCTGATGGCTGGTGGAAGTCACTGGCAGTTACTATGGCTGGGTCAATTTAGGACATACTTTCATAGACTCTGTGCCTAATTTTAAATTAGAGGGCTACATGAATATGCCAAGTCTCCCTTTGCTTGCCAGCAGGCCCAGTGCCTCCAGGGCACGTCAGCAGTTTCCAGTAGGCTTTTTCTGCACACAGCTTTGAGGCTCAACAAGTGGTGGACCTGCTGGTAGTAAATACAAACAGGTGGCAGTGTGTCCAACAGGTGTGAAAGAGTCACATTTGTAATCACCTGTGTGCAGCAGTCAGGTAACTCCTTAATCCAGGCAGTATTTGAGTGCCAACACCTGAGCATTCAGTTTTGTGCAGCCAGGTTATAGCTCTGCCTATCTCTGAATTGCAGATTTTTCTGAGTCAGAATACAGTGCTGTGTTGGCACGAGCTCACCTCTCCTTTGTGAGGCTTCTGCTTAATTGGGTTTTGTTGAAAACTCTATTTAAAAGCTCTTGTTTTCTTTTTGCAGATTCCCTCTATTGTTCAAGCTTTAGTCATGACTTCTGGCGAAGCTTTGGCACTGTGGATTTCATAATGCTGAAAAGTGAGGAGAAGGAAGCCAGGTAAGTGTCTCACTCATTTAAAAGACAGAATTAAATTTCTCTGTGAAACAATAGCACCCTCACCTCAAATCCAGGTGTTTGACATGGCCCAAAACAAAGGGACACAGGATCAAATGGTGTTTTGGAGGTTATGGCTTTATGAAGATTTCTGTGAGGGAAGCAAAGTCAAGCAGAGAAGCTGAGGAGTAAAATGTTCATTCAGGGTGCAACTCTTGCCCTGCATTTTGATAGGCTTGGGGGTTTGTTTTTCCCCTCTAGGGTGAGAAACAAGAGCTTCAGGGTGGAATTTTGTGGAAAATGAGCTTACATCTTGACTGAAAGACAGTGGTTTGGTTTGAACACTTCCAGTTCTTTTCTGCAAGAATAGATTTGACATTTCTGCCTTAAAAATAAGATTGATAAAGCCAGTCTTTGTTACTTCTAGAAAACCTCTAAAAGATACCTAGTACCTAGAAGGTATCCCTAATTTCTCCTCCAAAGAGAGAACAGTCAGAGATCCCAGACTTCTTTGAAGGGGGAGCAATTTGAAATAGTTGAGAAAAGCAATTTTTTTTTCTTTGAAGTGGTCAGCAAAAGTTTGGCTCAGCTGGTTGCTTGGTAGGTTTGTTTCTTACTCCTGGAGTGCTACAGGCATTTTAATATCCAGGTTCTGATTGATGGGACTGTGGGCTCTAACACGCCTTCAATCTATTTTCTCCAAGGCAGGAATGAGGTTGTGTGTATTCAGTGAGGGATTTAGCCAGAGGGAAGATTTGTCCATTCCAGTGTATCACACCAACTCTTTAATGTCTGAGCAGTAGCTCTTATTTTGGGAATGCTTTGGGCTGGCTTTACTGTTTGTCCAGATTAGCGAGGTAATAGCCTATTTGTTACGAAAAAATTCAGGTTATGGACAATTGCAGAGGAGGCTGTTGCAAGTGGGTTTAATGAATTTGCCAGTCCTGATGCTGTCCAAGCCTATTTTTCAGCACATTTCTCAGCTTCTCCCTCTTCCTGAGCAGAGAGGGAGCCTCAGGAATTTACTGTCTCCTGCAGTCTCAGCAAGTTGTCCAGGAGGAGAGTACAGTTCTTCATGGTGTTAATTAATGCACATACATGTAGAGGAAGAGCAGTCATGAAAGAAGGAACAAATGGAAGGGAGGTGGAAATAGAGACAAGCAGCCAAGCTCTGACTTCCAAAGGCAGACCTTGTGCTCTCAGCTGAGAGCACCTTGTGTGCTGTGGTTTGGGGTGGAAGATGAGGTCCAGGTTCCCCTTTTTTGAAAACCCAGGGTTTCGTCCCAATGTAGTGGTGGTTGCTGTGCTCTGCAGGGTCTTGTTCTGCAGACAGGGAAAGGTTTAAGCCTTGTTTAACAGAGGATATGAGTGGAGGATTACATGAGAACTCCAGCAGGAGATGGATATGGTTCTGCCAAACTTGCTTTGCAGTTCTCCCCTGACAGTGAATGGGTTTGGAGAGAAGCTACTGCTCAAGTGGATCCTCTTGCTGGGGACTGTGCTGGAGGGAATGCACGTGCTAAGAGCTGTTTCCAAGCTGGCAAGTGACTTTCCAGGCCTTCCAGTCATCCTGGCAGGTGTGTAACCCCAAACCACTCTCTCTAAATGAGACTGTGGTTCCTGGGTGGATGTTCTGGGAGCTGAAAAGTCTCCTAATTGCTCTGCAGGGCCAAGCTGCTTGCTGAATGAGGCTACAACAGGTTCAAGGAAGGCTTTTCATTACCCTCACTCTATTCACAGCTGGGAGTTCCTGATGGGCTTATCCTTGGCTGGCCTTTGGTACAGAGATTTGTCATATTTTTCTTTCTTCTCACTTTCCTTCCCTGCTTTGAGACCTCATGTTGGACAAGAGATACATGCTGGACATGTGATTCATCCACCCCCTTTGTCCCTCTTGGCTGTTTGGAGGCAGGTTTACCCAGGGAAAATGTGTTGGCTGTGCCTGGAACGTGCAGAGCATCTCTGCTTGGAGAGAAGACAGCACTATTTCATAGCTTTGGCTGTAGCTGCATCTGAATTGTAACTAAATCCTCTTCCCAGCACAAGCAGCTGCTCCAGTGAAGTCACAGACTTGGAGCCAGCCCAGCAGACGTAGTGCAGCTACCAAGGGGGTGGGTGGGAGCGAGACAGTAGCTGTGTGAGCTCCTTCATTTCCTGAGAGCCAGGCCAGTGGCACTGGGGGGACAGAGGAAAAGAGTCTGACCTGGGGAGTTCTTGTGCTGCCTTCCCCACGGCAGAGTGGGAGTTTTTTCCAGGAGGAAACAGAGTAGTGTGTTCAGCATCTCTTACTTGTGTCATGCTCTCTTCCCAAGGGAATGAGTGTGTGCAGTGCAGGGATTTGCCCTGGCATTTGTACAGTCACGTGCATAAATACACATCTATCCATGCAGTGGTTGAGATGTGCTGGCAGAGGTGAAAATGATGTGCTGATGGATCCTGCAGCTGTGCAGTTGAACAGAACCTATCCATCATTTTCAGTATGTACACACACATGCTGTATAAATTGTGTGAGCTCTGTGGTGCTCCTGGAGAGGTCATGTTTCCCAGCCTGAGGCCAGTCCCACACAGGTGATGGTGGTCACCCTTGCTTTTGAGAGCTCTGATCATGCCAGAGGAGCAAAACTGTCAACCAGCATCTATACTGCAGAGTTTCTGTTGATCTTCCTGGAAAATCTGAGCTCAGACCTGAGAGGTTTCAGATGAGGATGACGTTGTGGAGTTGCATTGGCTGTCCTTTGGAAGTCTGTCTGTGCAGGGTAAAGAGGCCAAGGCTGGTGGTTTTTTCCCTGCTGGAGAAATGTTCCACAGCACTGTAGCAGCTGGAGTCTGTCTTTGCAAACAGAATATAGAGCAATGAGGTGGCAGCAGACAGCGTGGGAAGGAGGAAAGCCTGCCCTAACTGATGAAAGTGTCTTGCCCCATTGCAGGAGCTTTCCCTGCCTCCTGTTTTTCCCCTGGCAAGATAATTTTTTTCTCTGTTTCACAGCAACCAGGCTCTTCCCCCTGCCCCACTCCATGCTCTGCTTGCTCCGTCTGTGTGCTTGTCTTTTGATGTCAGTCACGCTATTTGATTTGTGCTGAGGAAACAGAACGTCTTTTCCTCTGCTGCATTTGCTTCCCCCTGTCCTCTGAAGCCCTCAGTGCAGGAGGATGGGATTTAGCCATGGAACAACAAGCATCCCAGCAATCTCTCAGGGCTCTGCAGAGGCAGCTGGCGTTTGGGAGAGCAGGGGCAGTGGGGAGCAGCGTCTTCAGGGATCACAGCAAGCAGCTCTTTTGCTCATTTGCTGCCCTGGTTGGTGACGCAGGGACAGCCCTGCTCTGTCAGATGAGTGCACTGTGCTTTTCCTCCGTTCATCACCCAGCCTCTTGCTTTGGCACTGTACCCAGGTTTCAGACCCAGAGGCATGTTCAGGTGCTCACTATGCTGTTCATTATACCTGAAACACCAGCCAGTGACTGCAGTGCTTTCCATGGGACTGCTGCCAGAGTGCAGGAGCTGCCTTTCAAAGACCTGGAGGTGGTTTTGTCCCCTAGCACAAGCTGATTTTTGGAGGCACTGTGTGGTTTTGCATGGTCCATTTGAGAATAGAGCTGTCTGGGACTTTTTGATTAAGTGGAGCTGTATTGATTTCATTTTTACAGGAGCTCACAGTTCCTTACAACTGAAACTTTCTGTAGGAACACAGCTTAGGCAAAACCTACCTCAGGTAATATTTTTGCAGTTTTAGAACTTGAGGTCAGAGGGAAATCTGAACTGAAGGGCTGCCCCATGACTTAGCCTGGATCTCACAGCACTTCGTTGACAGCCCCAGCAGCAAAGCTGCTTTTCAGCCTTCTCATCTTTTCAGTTGGTTCCTGCTGGTGTTTGGTTTTGCAGGGAAAGTGGAGATCCAGTCTCTGGACCTTAGTGGTACCAGCCTAAGGCACTGTGCTGGCTGAGCAGCTCTGCTCTTGCTGGTTTATTCATGTGTCTGACTTTGCTGTCTGCACTCCCTGTTGCCACAGGAGGGATTTGAAACCTTTCCTTGACAGACTTCAGTGTCAAGTAGTAAAAGCATATTCTGGGAGACTGTACAGTGTCTGAGGGAAAGTGTGGGCTCAGACAAGGACTCTCCAGAATCTCTGTGTTATTCCATATTCTTCCATTCCACAGAAGATTTTTTTTTTCCAAGGGAAGTCCTTTCTCTGAACCTTGGCCTGGCGTTTCTGTTGAGAATGCAGCTCACCTTTGTGCTCCCTCAGTCAGCCCTCAGTGTGGAAGGAGACAGGGGCACAAGAAGACAGCTGGTCAGACTTCTCAGGAGGCATCATTCCAGGTAACACCCAAATTTCCTAAAGTGGATCAGTAACTCAGCAAGTCCCAGGGCACTGGAAGCTGCAGTGACATGGATGAAGTGCCCAGCCTTAGGGCTGGCTTAGTCCTGTGCCAAGGGGAGACTGGGGACAAGAGGAGCATCTGTGTGGCCTGAGGTCTGCTGTCACAGCACTCCCAAAACACTGCTGCACCTGCTGATCTGAGCCTGATGGCCTTTGGAGCTGGAAGGGTTCTGGGTGGAGAAACAGGGACAGTGTTTTTGGCGTGGTTCACATCAGGTGCTTCTCCCCAGACCATGCCAGGGGAAAGCTGGTGTGTGCACCAAGCATTCAGCTTCTCAGGCTCCAGGGGTACAGTTTGCTAAGGCAGCTGTCTGGGTCCAGCAACCGCCAGCTGCAGGGGCCTCATCAAGTTCAGGGCTGTGAGAAACCCTTCAGACCTAAGATCAGAGTTGACTCTCTGTGCCTCTGCTACTGAACCCAGCAGGAAGCCTGATGGGGGATGCTTCTGGAAGTATTTTTGCCTGAGGGAATCAGGCAACAGCTCAGTTAGGCACAGATTGATTTTTTTGCAAAATTTTCCTTCTCTTCCCTCGTTTCCAACCAGTTTAAGGTCCACATCTATCTTGTTGATAGAATCATTTTAACAGCTAGTGGGCCATGGGAAAAGCTAATCCCCTCTGGGTTCTTGTCCATTAGCCATGTTTGTAGGTACTGCTACTACACAATTAATTATTTACTGCTACTACTTTCTCCTTCACTTTTATTAAATGGTATTTTCTGTTTGCAGTCTGCTGAATGGTTTGTTTGCCTTAGTTTTTGCTCATGTAATAACTCCTGCTTTCCTGCAGTCTCACTGCCTGGGGTAATGATTTTTTGGCTGCTCAAAAGGTGTCCATTTAATTAAAGGATATCTCTGGATAAGTTTCCTCTCTGTGCAGTGCAGTGGTCTGTTCCCTGCTGCAGACCAGTTTTACCACTCTCTGTCCATTTTTGTCAAGGAAGAGGTGGACCTAAGCTCAGCATTAAGGTATCTGGCTTTTCACCCTCTATAAATTCAGGCCTATCTCCATGTGCACTGGAATAGGAGTTTTGTGGGAAAACTAAGTGCTGACTTGGAAAGAAGCAGCCTGCAAGCAGTGGAATTAATAAAGCTTTATGTCCTATAGGCATTGACTCTTCCAGTCGAATTCCCTGGGCAGTGTGAAATCCCTGTGTGGACCCACAATGTTTAGAAGAAATTTGAGTTATTTTTTTAGTGTGCCCGTTTTACCTTACGGGTGTTCCAGGGTGGGCAGGGTAAAAAGCAACCCATGCATATGAACAAGGCTTGGAGCAGGTTTCAGTCACCACAAGCTTGCACTGGGTTAAAATGTAATGCTGAGAGCTGGAAGACTTTGGCATCTCTGAAACTCGTGTGTGCTGTAGTGTGGTGTCCCTGAGTATTTCTGTGCCATTACACAGAACCACCTAACGAGATTCCTCCCTATTCTAAAATCCTGTGATGTGCCCCATTATTTTGTCCCTAACACCTTCCTGCTCTGGCAACAGAAGGAACTACTCCCAGCACCGTGCTGGTTGCATTAGTAGGATTGTGGATCAGCTGGTTAGAGGGGAAGGAACATTGCCCAGCTCCCCACACTCCCTGTGCAGACACTGTCTGAGCCACCTCCTCCCACTGCCGCCTTCCCGGGGAGCAGCGATACTACAGCTCCCTGCAAGAGCCTGCAGCATTCCCGAGCCAGCCGCTCCATCCCTGCCTGCCTCTCCCCGTCCCTCACTGAAGCCTGAACACGAGCCTGGTTTTTAGTGACTGCTGTTCCCAGAACTCAGCAGGCTGAAGGGGGTGGAAGGGAGATAAACATCAGAGTTCAACATCCAGATAAACACAGCAGAGCACACACAGTAAATACATCCACCCCCAAATGCAAATACAGCAGCAGAGATTCCTTGCCCGGGGCTCAGAGCGGAGCAGGCTCGGACAGGAGAGCAGCACCATGAGGTGAGTGTGGTGGCAGGGCCCTCCCCAGCTCCTCTGGCCACTTGGCTTTGTGCAGGCTCTGGAAGGCAGGAACATGTGTCTCATCTTGTTTAGCTGCTACTAGAGTATGGCTGCACTGATTCCAACCAATTTCTTCCACTGTCAAATGAGAAGGGTGGTGGACATGAAGATTTCAGCTCGTGCTGAAATACCTGATTTGATATCGAGCCTGGCAACTTGGATGTGTGGGTTTGGGCTATGATCTGAGTCAATGCTCACTCTTCCTCTGTTAATCTCTGCTCCTTGACTCAGGCTGTTTGTCTTGCTGGCTGTGCTCTACAGTGGAGCGAAGAGCAGTGTTGTGCCACAGAAAATGTATGGGAGGATCACGTCCCCAAACTTTCCCAATGTCTACCCAAACCACAAGGAGAGAATCTGGAATATTACTGTCCCCAAGGGATATTCTGTCCGTATCTACTTCACCCATTTCAACCTGGAGCTGTCCTACCTGTGTGAATATGATTATGTGAAGGTATGTGTAGGATGGGGTGACATGTAGCAGGCCAAGCTGTTAAAAACTGTGTTTATGTGATCCTGGGCACCTGTAGGACCAGTATAACTCTTGTAAGCACTTGATTCTAGTCTGCTTGTAAAGTTCAGGCTCAGCTGATTTCTAAATGACGTATTTATTGAGGCCCACAGGACAAGAAAGCAGAACTGGGAGACCACAAAATTTAAGTGATGGTCTAAATAAGTTGCTGTCAGCTTGTCTGAACGGGCACTGGCTGTGGTGTCTGCTGGCTAACGTGACAAACAACCTCAGGAAGAACTTGTTTGTGTGGGCCTGATGCACATCCAAGAGGGAGCTGTGTACACAGGGAGTGTGCAAGCCCAGTTTCCATCTGACAGAACCAAACCAGGCTCTTCCCACTTAGAAAGATCTCATTTCCATGGTGTTATATAGCAAGTTGCTCCCATTCCCCAGATCCATGTTGCTCTTCATGTACTTTCCTTTGGGCAGGATGGAGTACTCCTTTCTGGTAGGTCTGTAATACATAGCTCTCTCTCTGCCATGCCCAACATAAACCCCATGTGTCAGAACATTTCTCTTGTATTAAAGATAAATTAAGGACTGAAACTGTAATAGGTGAATCATAGAGCAAGTGAGTCACTCATTTAAAGACACCTTTTACTATACATTTGAATTTGTCAGCATGTGAAACTTTTTCTTTTCACCCCAGTTGCCTCGGGCTTTACCAAGATCTGATTGTCACTGAGAGCACCAAGTTAACAAGAAAGGAAAAAGGGAGACAAAATTATGGGTTTAAATCACAGAGAATGGGGGAAATCTTCTCTTATCTGTCCTTGGATGTAGAGTGATCTCCAGCAGCACATTTTGAGAGCATCCAAACCTCCTTCCTCACACCATTAAACACAAGCTTTCCAAGCCATGGCAGTAGGTTGGGAAGATCAGTGCTCTGTGCTCATCTGGTGGATTTGCCTGTCTGTCTTCCAGCTGAGCTCTGGTGGGAAGACCTTGGCTACACTGTGTGGAAAGGACAGCACAGACACTGAGGAGGCTCCGGGCAACAAGACATACATCTCCATGGACAACCACCTCGTGGTGGTGTTCCGGTCCGACTACTCCAATGAGAAACCATTCACGGGCTTTGAGGCCTTCTATGCTGCTGAAGGTAAGAGATCTTAGATGGAGATAAGATCTTAGATAAGAGAGGTAGATGGAAGAGCCACAGCTGTGGGGGGTTGGTGCTTTGCTGTGTTCTGTGCTGCTCTGTGCTGTGGGTGTGGGGTGGGAGATGTCTCGTTGTACAGAGGCAGGTGCAGAAGGGCACAGCAGCCAAAGGCAAACAGCCCAACCTCTCAAAGCACAGAGCGGCTCAGAATGAGAGAACACATTGTTGAAGGGTGTTGTTTGCCTGATTCTGTGCTTTGCCCATTAGATATTGATGAGTGCAAGCAGCTGTTGGATGGTGAACCCCTCTGCAATCATCACTGTCACAACTACGTGGGGGGCTACTATTGCAGCTGCAGGGTTGGCTACACACTGCATGAAAACAAGAGGACATGCACAGGTGAGCTCTTGATTGATCAGGAGAAACTTCCCTACCTACAACATCCACTTAAATCCAGTCCTGGCTCTAACAGCAAGGTGAAATCTGTGGGGTTTTGCTGTTGTTTTCACTATTCCCTATTCACCTGGTGCAGCTGGAAGGCAGTTCAGGGGGTTGGTCAGGGCTGGGAGCAGAGGCCCTCCTTTGCAGAGTGGCTGTGGGCTAATGGTTGCCATCAGGGACAGCAATTTTGTGTGGCAGTAAAATAGTGCTCTGGCACTTGGTTGTGGTTACTCCTTTCCACTTCTGTTCACCTTTAGGTGGGTTGAATGGGAGAGGCAAGAAACTTGCCTTACACTTACCACAACAGACACTTCCTGTGTTCATGGCTGCCAGTGCAGCCAGTCTTGCAAAACTGAGTACATCTTGTTCCCTGGGCACTGAGATACAGAGTAGTCTGGACCCCAATTAGTAGATGTGTTGGAAAAACTGACAATTGAGTTGTGAAGTCTAATGGAGAAATAGTTTTCTTCCCTGGAAGGCCACAGGCCAAGGAGCAGCACAATCCACATATCACTGACACCAGCTACCACAATCCACTCATTAATGGGAGGCTGACCAGGCATGGATCTCTTGTTCAGAGGGCTCACAGTGTGAGATCTCTCACTGCTGCCCAGCTCTGCTGCTCAGGTCAAACCAGGGGAAAAGATCAGCACCTCAGGATTCCCTGTGCAGTGAAACAGGGGCATACATGGGGTGAGAGGTTCATCCTTTGGGGGTGCAGCTTTACCACCTGGAGCTGAACTCTGTCTGGACAGAACCAGCACACATAATGCTCATAAATACTGTCAGAGGTGGAAGATGGTTTTCTTGAGCTCCCCTGTGCTGAAATACAGAATTGGATCCAGCTTCCAGGGCTTAAGGTTGCCTTGGCATTTGTCTTCCCAACTCCAGCCCATTACATACTCTCTCCAGCCGTGGCTGCCTGGGTCTGATTCAAGATTTGAGCTCCTCATGTCTCCAGTGTATTGGAACAGGCTGTCCTGAAGTGATGGCTTTTAGCACAAGTATATGGATTTACTGGCACTGTAAAGCCTGTCTCTGCCCTTAATGTGAAGGTGCAAACTGGAAAGCTGTGAATAGTCAGCTCTGCACTGACCATTCGTGTGTGCCCAGTTCTGTCCCCCTCCTTGAACAGAGCCTGAGCACAGGGAGCTTCTCAACAATAGCAGAGGGCTGGGCTACCTGGATGGAGGAGTTGGGAATTGAGAATTGGGAATTTCTGTGGTGCAGCTGATGTGCTGGAACCTGCTCACATTTAGAGCCCTTAGATTCAGGGCTGCAGCTGCTCCAGCCACTGGGCTGCAAGGACAAGGTCTCTGCAGACCTCCTTCATGAGATGAGGGCAAACGCTGCCCCTGTGAGTGTTGGGCTCCTGCCTGGGCAGGCTGCTATTGACAGGCTTTTTTTCTCCTTTATTTTCCAGCGTCAGATAATTAAACTTCTCCTCGCTTAGGCAGAGATGGAGACAGATGTTCTGGGAAGAGCTGGTTTCCCTCCCTCCTGACCTGCCTGTTGCAGTCTGCCCAAGGGCTGCAGGCTTCTCTTGTTCCATGACTTGTCTGTTGTGGTTCCTTGCCTTTCAGACCTGCCTCCTGCAGACAATAAAGAGGCTGTTCCTTGTTGAAAGCTGATGGCAGCCTCTGGGGCGTTCATTTTCTCACATTTCCATGTGTCACTTGGGAAAAAAGAAGGTAGATAAGGCAAGAGCTGATAAGAGGGGAGCCAATTGTGAAAGGCCCCTGAGCATCACAGCTAAACATGAAGACTCTTGAATTTCTTGTCCAGCTCTTGTTGCTTGACCTTCCACAGTTCTTAAACTGCAACAAAACCATGACCACACCTTTGTTCCCTGATGGTCCTTTTAGATGCACTCCTGTCTGCACACAGATCTGTAGATTGAAACTTGCTATTCAAAGCCCATTCACTCTCTGGAAAGGTCTGAATTTTTTTTATCCCCATTTTGTGACTTTGGCCATTTCTCCATTGGGAGCCTGGCCTCATGGCTGAAGTGTGTTCTGGTAAGAAAAACTTTGGAGTTCCAGGAGTTTGGTAAAGTCATATGAATGTCACAGGCAGCTGAGGTGCCTTTTCTTCACAGGTGCTCTCCCCATGTAGATGCAACACCAGAAATGCTGTTCTTCAGCTCAATTGCTTGTGGTGTCTCAGTGCCTTTAAGTGCCTCTCCCTGCTCCGCAGTGATCCCCATTTGATGTCCATTTAGGCTGTACCCCCTTTGGGCAGGGACCATCTTCAAACATGCTGGAGAAATGCTGTGTTCTGTACTTGTCAGGGACTAGGGTCCCCCAGCTCTGTGGATGATTATTGCAAGAGTTTAACAAGTCAGAGCTCAGCAGCTCTAAGGGAACTGCTGAAGGTAAGACAAGGCTTTGTTTAAAAGCTTGAGGGATTAAGGAGCATTAGCCAATCAGTATTGCCTTATTTCTGCTATTTAGCAGGAGTTGCTTTTGATTGTTATTTATGAGGCTTGGTTACTCCAGCTGTGGAATAAACAGGGAAGGAACCCTTTTCCAGGTGAGCATGGGAGGAAAGATGAAGTCTTTTAGGTGGGACACGACTCATTTCAGGCCACTGCATTTGCAGGCTTTGATGTTCCCTTGAGCAAATCACTTGGTACCAGCTTTGAATATCCATGAGCAAAATGAGAGGAAACATCCCTGCCCTGACTTACTGGGAACATGCTTAGTAAGTGTCTAGGAGGTGGGTGCTGCAGAGAACAGATCTGGGGGTAGAGTGGCTGTGCAAGCACTACCAAGGCTTACTTGTGCCATGTTTAATCCTGCTCAGAGGCTGTTTCATGGTCACAGTGAATTGTGATCAAAGCAGCCTGAAATTTTGTCATGGATCAGTGACACAATTTATGACCCACCTTTCGTTGGGGCCCTAATGAGAGAATGACAATGGACCTGCAAGTTTTGAGGAGGCCATTTTTCAGGGTTCAAGCCTCTGGCAAACAGCTCACTGTGATCCTAATAAAAATATGGCCTAAGCATAATTGAGCACTCTCAGGACAGCCCTAAAGCTCGGACTGAGCAGTCAAGGGAGAGCATTTCTGCTGGCAGATGTTAAAAAAATCATTTGATCCTTTTTGTGCTGGGTGTTTATGACTTTCTTGCTCACAGAATTATGGAAAAAAATACTACCCTGACAAAGGGAACTCCCAGTGGCCACATCTAGAAGGTATTAGGAGAAAAGTAAGGTCCAGTCTGAGCCTTTTCATCTTCAAGCTGCAGATTCCCTTGGATTAGCAGAGTGTCTTCTGTTGGGTCAGCCAGTTTTGGCTGTTCATGTGAGCACAGGTCAAGAGAGTTTATTGGTGATGATTCACATTTTTCCCAAACTGTATCATGAAAATCTCACATCAACATTAGGGGTTGAATTGAAAGGAGACAGATGTAATGAAGTATGAAAATATATTAGTCTCTGTCTTTCTCCTTTTTCAGTCCTTCAAAACAAGGCCAGTTTTCTGACTTGCTGGGCTCCTGGCAGGGCACTGGTTTGGTTTGAGCTGTAGCAGTGAGTGGGGAGCCCAGCTCTGTGCACAGGCGTGGTGCTGCTCTTTGCTACGTGAACACAGAGCAGCCTCTGCCCCAAAGAGCCTCTGAACCAGCACCTGGGCAGTCAGAGCAGTTCTGGAATGTGCCTTGCCAGAATGGACCCAGGCTGAGGATCCCTGGAGTCCAACCCATGAGCCTGGCCAGCCCCTCACACTTCAGTGGACGATACAGTTCCGTGAGTGTTGTTTAAAGTATCCTTCATGCAGGAGCATGATCCTGGCTTTGTGTCAGGTTTGTGGTTTCCACCCTTTAAATTCATCATGTGTTCCTTTGCCCTCTTATTATTGAGAAGGTAAACAGCTTTCAGGAGCTACAGTGGGTGGTTTTACACACTGTTGTTTTGTGTCTGTGGCATATCTGTGTTATCACACAGTGGGTTTTTCTTCATCCTTTCTCTCTATTACATGTATTTATGCTGAGCTTTAGTCTAATAACATTCCTTTAAACATACTTTCAGCAAAGGATAACATGGATCACCTTGGTAAACAGAAGCCAAGGTGTTGCTGCTTTCTGATTCTGAGGTTCTTGTAAGAAAGGATTTAACCTTACCAACCTGAGTAATCCCTTCTTTGCATGGGAGGTCCCATGCCCAGGGACAAATGGTTTTGTAGGTTATTATGATAAGGATTCTGTTGCACAACTGGAAAAGAATTTGAGATCCTAACTTCCTAATGATTTCAGTAGGGAGTTGGGGGCATAAAGGTAGTTCTCATTATATTGTGACTTGTATGCTTAGGGTAGGAACTCCCACTGTCTTTTCTCACACCTAAGGATTTCATGTTTTCATCCCTATCTTTTCCTATAATTGCCTCCAGACTACTCCTGGAGGGGCTGTGGAGTTGGTGCAGATACTGGCAGCATGAGGAAATTTCAGTTTTAAGAGAAGCAGGGGTTTTTTTGCACTTCCATGGGGGTGAGCATAGATATGCTAGATCTGCATATCAAACAGATTTCAGGGTGTTTCTTAGCCTGGGCTTACAGGAGGTGGAAGGAGGCATTAGAGTGGGATCTTAAAGCCTGGGAGAGGCAATGAATTCTGTGTCTGGAATATTTTAAGCAGCTCAGGAGAGTGTGCTGGAAAATGTGCTTTATTCTTACATAGTCAAATGCTTCTGTAGTTTGAGACAGTCAGTGACATTACAGAAATGTGCATTTAGCTGGGAAGAATGAAGCAGTAATAATTAAGGAAAAAAAACAGTTACTAATAATCCTCTACAAGTGTAGCATGAAAGGAAAAGATTGAATTCCCTTGGTGGCTCAGCTGATCTCTGCTGGTGCAAAGCAGGGTGCTGTAGGGCTGGATTCAGAGGCAGCCAGCACCTCCAGGTGAATTAGTCAAGCTGTCTCCATTTCTTTGGACCAAACAGGATTTATAAATTAGGAGAGCACACAGTTTTAACAGAATAGGCATTTCTAGGTGTTCATTAACTGTTTGTGTATCTGCCAGCTGTGTTTGAAAACCTGTGAGAATGATCTGGAACACTGAGAGGTGCTCAGTCACTGGGGTGATGAAAAGGTTCATGTCAAACAAAAGCAGCTGCTCGTAACTCTCTGGGAAGATGGACAGAGGGAGGGAGATTGTTCTGAAATTACAGCTTGTGCTAAAAGGAATGCTGGTGCCCAAGTGCATCATGACTTGTGTTGGGGTATTTTAGTTGGGCTGAGAGCCACACAAACATACTCCAAAAAGATTATCCTTTTACCTGTTCTTGCTTTCCTTTCCCAGTAAACGCTTGTAATCCAAATATTTACCGTGGCAACAAGTGGGGCTGACACAGAAGCATAGGGTGAAAAGGAGCTTCATTCTCTGAAGTAAAAGAAGCTTAGAACCTTGACTAACAAAATCCATAGTTAGTTAAGGGACAGTAGTTTTCTCATTCACAACTTGGTCACCTTCCATTAAAATGACAACCCTAAACTGTATGATCTGGTTTTGGGCGATAATCTCTAATTAATGCCTGGATAATGGCATTTTTGTTGGTGGAGGTTAGCATGGTGTGTTTGAGGATACAATTCAAAGTCAAACAATTCCCCTCTTACAATTAATTCAGTGTCAGAGTGGTGCAAAAATCTGCCGGTGTTATCAGCCAGTCCAGCATTCCTCATCAATTACAGGATTGCTCATCCAGCTTTTGCAGCACATCATAAAGCCTTTGTTCCCAGCTGATCAAAGCACCACTTCACAGTGATCAGATGCTGTCAACAAGCAGAGATCCTCGGGGCACTTGTGGCTGTTCCTTCTTGCTTCTCTTCAGCAGGGAGCATTTGTGGCTCCAATTGTGCCGGCAAGAGGCACAGCTGGTTTTGCTCAGAGAATACAATTACATTCTAAACGTCTGGCAACAAAGGCATTAAAAAGAAAGGGCTGCATTCAGAGGCTTCTGGAACTGAGGAGCTGATGGCTATCTTACCACTCCACACACTCTGGAGCAGCAGACAAGCTGCAAATTTAACACCTTGGAATGTTTCTGAGGAGCTTCCAGTTATCACCCCTGTATCTGACCTGCAGCCCTGCAGGCTGTTCAAGTGGTGCTTTCCCAGTGTCCTTCCCTGCCCCTCTCCTGAGGCAGGAGTGCTGGATAGTGCTGGTGCCCTGGACCCACCACAACAGATTTGTGGCTCCAGAACTTTCATAAAGGCCTAGACTAGTGTAGAAAATGATCCTCCTCCTTTACCTGGCATGGCTGAACTGAGGTAATACAACTACGATCATTTTCTGTTGTTTGTTTTTTCCCAGCCCACTGTCAGAGTCTCCTTTCTACTGAGAGAATTGGAGAAATCCCTGGCCCTGACTGTCCAACACCTGATCTCAGCTCCTGCAGCTACAGGATCCAGATAGAAGAGGCTTCCTGATCCTGCTGCAATTCGTGGAGACCTTTAATGTGGAGACACACCCAGGACTGCTGTGCCCCTGTGATGTCCTTAAGGTAAGGTGAGGTTTAATGCATTTCATCACAGCTTTTATGAGGCAGGCCCAGCTTTTTTACCACATCTTCTTCAGCCCATGTTTCACCATGTGTTCATTTCTTCTTCTTGCTTCAGTTTTGTGACTTTGG